AATAGCGTTTGACAGCACACCACAAAGCGAAAGAAAATTCAAGGCTTTTTCCCACATTCCAATATCTTGAGCCATATGTCCTACTGGTCTGCGCATAGTATTTAGATACTTTAAATAATAAAATTTGCAATTAATTTATTTAAATAATTTAAATGGCCTTAATTATAAGAGGATTGATTAAAGTATATGAATGGCTTGTCTAGCTAGTATTAATTATATTGTAAATCACCGGCCATTCTAATACTTCTATCAACTCTATAACAATTAAAAAAAAAAAAATTACTTTGAAAAAATCTGATTTGACCTCAATCGCAATATATATCCAAGAAAACAATGGAGCTAAAGGAAATACCGAACAAAATAATGATATAAACCCGAATTGTATAACTAAAAAGATTGATTCGAATATTAATATAACGATTTTATTATTATTAGATTTTTATTAAATATAAAACAAATAAGACCAACCAATTTTTACATATTCGGAATCTTCTATTTCTGGAGGATCAACTAAATCACCATCTTTTATCCATTGTGAATGTTCAACATCTTCCAATTGTGGATTTTCATCTGTCTTATTCAGACAACGCTTAAAAAGCCTATACCATTCGTTAAATTTACTCATACAAAGCCTATAAACAATTAACGGTTTTAGAGAAAGACTATAAAAAGGAAATACTGTAAGTTGCAAAAATACATACGGAATAAAAATTTCTGTTATTGTTCCAAATGCTTGTTTCCCAACCATGATAATTGCTAATTGAACAGTAAGTTCTGTAAAGCAATTGTCATATTCACATCCTGTTATAATATCGGGTCTGTTTATCAAACTTCTTATATACTAAGTTGAAGTAGAATTCTAGTTACAATATAATAGTTAAAACTTAATAAAATAATATAACGTTTACCTTTTGTTTAAATAATATAATATAGAACAAGGCAGTGTAAAAATTCACAAAGTCGAAAAGGAATATTTTAAGAATAAACGAATCTTAATATTTTCAAGATAGTGAATTAATAAAAAGTATAAAAAAATAAAAACAAGAATAGTCAATTTAAATATAATAGAAACCTTCATATTTTGTTTCGGTTTTATGATTCTCAAAATTTGTCAGATATAGCGCCAATTTTGAATATACCTTTTGTTGTTACAAGATAAAAGTTTTAAAACTATTATATAATTTTGTTTAAAAAAATTTAAAACAATGGATAAATCGAATACATATTTACCACTCTAAGTATAATCATTACTGTAAGACTCACTAAAGCAGTGATGACAGATGTATAAATACCGACATGAATCCATATTTTTGGAAAGACAAGTAAAACTCCAGTTGTAACCAAAAAAATACACAGCTATTAAATATTAAATAAGAAAATCTAAGATTTCTGCTTCAGAAAGATAATATGGTTAATTGAACTACTGAACAAAAATCTTACTGCAATAACGATAATAGTTCCAGAAATTGTAAACCTTGCTAATCTGTTAGTTATAGGGACATAAATTTCTTTTCCTTCTTTCAAT